GCGCTTGTTCCGTGAGCAACTCGAAGTCGAGCGGCACGCAGAACCTGTTCCCGTACGTTTGGGCGATGGCCTTTTCACCGTCCGTGATCTTGTCTAACTGGTCTTGCGTGAAGCCATACCCTATGCGCAACCGAGTCGATTTGCTGATACCTTGGTACACGTCATTGACGCGTTCTCCCTCGCTTTTCCAGAGGTCCCCGTAGCAGTGAAACACGTCGCTGTCATCGATGCTCAGCACCTCGTTACCGCTGATCTTGATGGTGGTTTTCTTGATGATGGATCGACCTACGTTCCGCACTAGCTCAACCTAGGTCAACGTGAGGTTGAACGCCAGTCGAACCGTGCCTGGTACAATGAGGTCATTCTCGGCAAGGTTTGGGAATCTAACCAGCAGCGTTTGGTTTTGGTCTATCTTGCTGGGATTGTTGGTGATGGTCACCGACTGGCGCACGGCTCTGACGCCTAGAGGCTCTCTCGATCTTCTGAAAGGATCTAGCTTCCTGCCGTACATTGTTATATAAATGAAATATATAAGTCTTAATATTAAATAATGGCTGAATACATACCTATGGATGATATGTGGGATGATAGTGCCCAGGCATTCGAGGGGGATGAAGCCTCATTCTCCCAAGGCAACGAACTCGTGAAGCAGGCCGTCAACGGGTTTTACGATGGTTTAAAAGGGGATAAAAATTACGTAGAGCCGTGGGGGCGAGACTATTCCAAGTTTTTTGTCGATGGCAATGGCACGCTGCGACTGAGGGGTCGCCCGGAGATCGATCTCATGAATAAGCGCACGAGAGAACCGCTTGCCTTATCAACACTCGGCAGTCGCCATGGGGGTGACTTTATCGGCGATGAACTAGGTTTCATAGATTACGGTGGCGCACGTCCTAAAGCCCTTCCCCAGGAGGCCGTTCAAGATCTGCAAGACGTCAGGGGCGCCACATCGGATCAAGACATGACTGATAACACTGAAAAGCTGTTGGCCACCTACCATAACAAACCCTTACCCGGGTTCGAATTTACCGTTCGGGAACTGCGGGGGCTGGACAAGGCCATGCAAACCATTCGCGGACATCTCGTGAACAACACGGCCAAACTGGACGCGATAGACGACCACATCGCCCATGAAAAGGCCAAACTCGATGAAACTGAGGACGAGTCTCTGAAAGCCACCATTGAGGAACGAATACGTAATTTGGAAGGGGAAAGGAAGACCCGGCTGGAAATGGCATCCTCCTTCCGAGACGAGCTTCGATCTCAGATCAGCCATGCGCGGGAAACCGTTGATCGAGTCCTCTACCAGGACACCACGCTAGCTGACAGGATTCGGATACTGTTCCGGGAGCAAGAGATCACCATCGCCAGCATTCTGACTGCATTGGGCTTCATCATATCAACCCTGGTCGTGTCATTGACACGGGGTACCCCCACGCCTGCTGGCGGCAGTAGCACACCAAGTGGGCGTACCCCCACTGGTAGCGGGGGCGTCAAAGCCTGGATAAAAAAAATCGGGGAGGCCCTGGCTAAACTGGCTGGTAAGGCCGCTGAAGCCCTGCCCGGCATCCTGGGTAGCATCGTCTCGTGGTTGCTGAGCGCTCTGGCTAAAACTGCCACGTGGCTCAGTCAAAACCTGTGGGCAGCCATCGTCGCCATGGCGGGTTTGGTGTACGTAGCGGCTAAGGAATTTTTAAGCAAATAAGTCCCAAAGCTACCCCGCCAACCACCAGGGCTGTTTTACGGTCGATGTGCTGCTGTGCAGGCTGTGGGGTTGACCCCACAGGGGGTGTGGGTTGAACCCTAGGCTCTGGGGGTGGCGCCACTATACTCGTTTCACCGGTCGTGGGTGGTGGGACGTGGGGGACGTTGACATCAAAATTGACTCCCAACTTTTGGTCCGCCGTGGCTATGACTATTTCGTTGTTGTAGCCCACCACTTTTTTTACTCTCAGTTGCATATCGCTCGGAGCCATGTACAGTCCCACGTCGAACACGTAGTCGACATTCGACCGGGCGTATTCCAACACGTCTTGGTAGCGTTTGATGGCACTCGGGAGGTCAACTGGAGAATTGATAGCATCCTCAACGTTAACAATGAACTGTTTCTGAGCGTCGTAAGCAGTCCCCTTACCGAGGATGTTGAAACGCGTTTGCATCTGCGCACCCAACAGCGCCCACATGTACGTTCGAATCGAGTCGTTCAATCTGGTGACACTGGCACGAGTAAACCCTTTCGACGTGTCCAACATAAACATTTTCCATCCATCTGCAGTTGACTGCTCCACTTTCTGGACGGTGAAAGCAACACCACCTTTAAAGTTCATACGGTCATCCCTCCATTCATTACTCGACAAAGCGAAGTCCTGGCGTCGTACATCTCGTTTCAGTAAATCATCACTGACTTCTTTCACGGGTCGCCCCCCCATTATATGGAATACCCAACCCGTGGTTCGGCCCCGGCAAACGCCAATCCGTCTTCGGGTTTAGTTCGAATTCGTTGCAAATACGTTCGTAGGCCCGTCTATCGTACTGGTTGTTTACAGCGTCCCACGGGGCGCTGATCTCTTTGAGGATACGTCTGACCTGGTAGTACACGTGAAACATGAACACAGACTGACTCAGCGGTCCACGCCGAGTGTCAGTTAATGCCACACCACACCCCGTTGTAGCGCACCACACCGCGAAGTTGAGTTGATTCTGCCAGAACTGCATCGGGTTGTTGAACCAAGCGTGGACTGCCTTGACGTTAATCACAGAAAGCTTTTACCGGCCGAACACATCTATAAACTGGGCGTCGAATTACATCCCATCAGCAACCACGATCTTCATGTGGGGGGAAATCTATGTCCAGTTTAGGGTAAAACACTCCCGGGGAGTACATTTTAAAACTATTATATAATGAGTTTATATACTCTAACATGTACATAACACTTCCAGGAATAACGAGCGGCGAGGCCGTTCAGCTGATGCACGCAATCGATAACACGTCAGGTCAACTCGAAGCCGCACTCTGCGATATCACCTACCTACCGCGATGGACTAACATCAACGTCAACAACAACAAGCTATTCGTCAGTGGCATCCGCAGCCAGATAACTGACAGCTACTACAGCGTGTGTTCGCTAAGCGACCAGGTCTTCAAGCCCCTGGGAGCCGAACTCAAGATAAACGACTCAAACGGCACAGTGGTGTTAATCAACAATGGAAGAAACTCGTTGAGGCTCGGCCGACCATTGGCGAGGACACTCGGTATGTCGCCTGACGAGATAAAACCAACAACCACCGTCACAGGCACGAAGTTACCCGACCTAGTACCGTATCGAGAGCTGTGCATTCATCTCAGCCAGGTTAGCACAACGGACAACATTCAAGGGGGTCACCCTTCCACTATACTGAGAGCCGTACCGGTGAAAACGGAGAAATACAACGACGGTAGAACTGAGTCGTTTTCACCGCAGCAGTATAAGAGGTTAACCCAGGGCAACATCCCTGAGCTGATAATATCGGTGTTAGATATAAATCATAATCCCGTGAATATAGGATACCTCAGCATAACGCTGCACATAAAATGACCAGCGCACAAGGCCCCGGAATGAAGGTGAAAAAATGTGTCAATGCGGGGATATCCGACCTCAGAGACACACGCGTATTCGACGACCCCGGAGTAGATGGTAAATTGTACGCCTTGCAGCTTAAAAACAGTATTTACAAACGCGTTGAAGTCCCCTCCATCGGTGGTACTAACAACCTAAGTGATATAGTAGATACCACAAGAGCGGCAGTCAACACTCGGTGTGTTTCTGAATTACTATCAAATAATGATGACATTAGGTATTCACAAGAAGGTGAGCGTACCTACCCTACCGGTTGCACCGGTCATAAATATAATTATTAAAAAACATCCTATGAAAAACATTAAGGAACATTATGGTAGATGTTAAACTCGGGAAATGCATCGGAACGACTGGTTATGTGAATGTATTCAAACTATGCTGTCAGAAATTAATAAGAATGCAAATACCCTATTTTGACGGTCCATTCATAGATTTTCTTTAGGCAAGTCAGCTTGTTTTTTGTATTTATCACGAACGATGGAAAAACATTCAGAATTGTGAAATGGTATGTGGGAGAATGTGTCCTTCTGTGTAAGAGTAGGGGTCATATAAAAAGATGAGCACGTCAATTTGGGGTTTGTTATTTAGCGACACAACCAGTTATTCCCCAAATATTTAACAGCGGTCTTCAAATAACCGCACACAGTCCGGACAACAGTCCAGAAATAGGCATTGTTGGCGCCATGTATGTCGTCGGGGTCCGAAGGTAATCAACCATATATTTTAACCTACCCTGCACATCCATTTAGTTGTCTTGTTCGACTAGCATAGGCACTCTACTCTGAACCTGAATTCCCGAGGGGATGTTTATATATAAATAGCTAGTAACAACCTGTCGACTGAGAGGTATTTATGTTACAGATGAGGTAGATGATATGACACTGCAGACGATGTAACATTCGTTGACTACAACTTAACAGGGCAACAGAAAATCAGTGTTAGATTGTAACCTGTAAAATCAGTTTTCGAAAAAAGTCTGATACACAAGTAATACAAAAAACAAGGAACAAATTTGAAAGAATATATATTTTAAGAATACTCTTACCATCGTGTTTAAATTTTATAAACAGACTTGAAACACGGCAGTACAATCTAGGTTATGGAAAAAACACGAACACTCATCTTTAATGTGTTAAAGAGCAACATTACCCGTGGACATTCAGTTGACCAGTTTGGATGGGATATTGCATAACCGTTTGACATTTCAAACCACGTTTGTACACGTGGCCACTTGTTCCAAACTAATTTGAAGGGCTGAATTGTAAATGACTCTGCTGAAAACTGAAATAACTTTGAATAATACTGTACAATGTATATGTGAAATACATACCTTGGACACGAGTTGTTATCATTCTTTACGTGGAACTTCGTCTCATTTATCAGGTACTGCTACAAACGTTGCCCTGAACAAACCCGCATGGATTAGTTCAGCCTTGGACGGAATTCATCCGGCTACCAAAGCTGTCGATGGAGATACAACAGCAGACCAGGACAACTACGTAGCCCACACAGGGAGAGGTCAAACTATCGCCTGGTGGAAGGTGGATCTGCAGACACCAGTACAATCAGCACGGATTATCCTGTACTTCAGAACAAACTGTACGTATAGACTAATTACGTAATTCATATGAAACAGAACCACTATAAGAATTGCAAACCATATTCTGACGTTTTCCTGGATTCATGCACTGAAATCCATCTTAATGCCGACCACTGTACTATAGTTAAAAACGAGGCTGATTTCTATTTTCAGTTCATGCAAAAAGCCATCAACTAACGATTATGACGTTTACATTTCCCAACTGCTCATTTTCTTTTGTGGCATATTCATTTCTCAGAAAAACATAGCGTGTCTACAACCTAACTTTTATGGTGAATGCCATAGAACAAATTCAGAGGATGTTCACCAAACAACCCACAACGAAAAGACATACGTCTTTGCAGAACAGTACTGACGTTAACCAAACACCATGGTGTCAAACAATTGTTATAGGTACTCAAGGGCCAATAGAAGCCGGACATGTACAATGTGACCTAACTGTATGCCGTAGTTAGACGCAATGGTTTGTTGATGTCACTCAGTTCTGGTATTCACGGTTGTATTCCATTGTTTGAGACGCCCTATACTTAGGCTAGTGTATATCTTCTTGTTGCAGACATTATAAGACGTAATGGCGTGCACCTGTACACATCTGGGACAAACTCATCTGATCCCACAGAAGGAAATCTATGCGACACTGTAACAGGGCGTCCTGACGGTACAGACATCGATGATGTACTGAATGTGACCTGTCCTGGGACCTGGCGATACCTCACTGTCTACACAGAGACCGACAATGATGGACAGGGTGTTATATTAGACTTTGCTGAAGTGCAGGTGTTGAGTAAGTATTCTGTTGTGCGTGAAGTAACACATATATATTGACAATATCTCTCTGCAGGCCATCTTACAATGTTTTGACTTTTAATATTATGAAAGAACTGTTAATACATTTTTTCTACTCTGAAACTATGTAGCATGCCTTTCAGTTCCGTTACCCGTGAAGATCCGGTGAGAATTGATCTTCAGTAATGCATGCTTGTCGTAAGAGGCGTATCGTATCCTTACTGCGTAGATCAATGTTCATACTGTTGATCCCTGATTGTCTGGTCCAAACTCGATTATTTACAGACCGCCACCATATAGCTGGGATATTGCTGAGTGCGGCGTAAACTCACTCACTCATTTCAGTTCAGAATGGGCCAACAAATTGTTATATCAAAGACAGCCTTAACAAAACGTCTAACGATAAGTATCACCACACACGTTTTAAAATCTTCTTGGTTGACACATGTCATCGGTTCCCAATTGCGCAGATCGATGCTCATGATGTTGGTCACTCGATTGTCTGGTCCCGACTCTATTATTTACAGACCGTAGCCATATAGCTGGAATATTGCTGAGTGCGGTGTAAAACTCAACTCACTCACTCAAAATCTTCTTAGATTTGTTTCAAGTCATAATGTTTATCAAATGAGTAGACACTCTTATATGTACCTGTGATCCTAAATGTCAGTTAGGATAACGTAAATGTGAAGTGGTGTAACTAAGTGTATAATTACGTGATTCGCATTACAATGTTTCGTAAACAATGATTAGATATGAAATCACCATAGTACGTGGAGGTAGGGCAGAAGGTGATGCTGTCAATACCTTGACGTGTCACGACAATATTCGATTTACAATTGACCAATCAGCTTTCATTCATTAACGGTGCCGGATTCTGAATGACGCTTACGTCACATTTAAACATATTTTGACAATGTTCTCAATTGAAAGTGAAATAAAACTTTAAAACAAGTTTTGATAAATGCTGGCTTCTAATGAAATCAGTAGGCAATTAGTATTTTGTAAATGTAATTTGACAGTGCAAATGAATACTCGGAATACTTCAGAAACTGATTCCATTTGGTGTAAAGGGAACAACAGCCCTTAAAATATTATATGAAGTTAACACTGCAGATAGGTTGTGAAAACCGGTGTTCGCTAAAAAGATTAGGCGTTTTTCTGCCCCACCGACAGCACCCACTGTTCACACTTTGCAGTACTACACCACTCAGCAACACGACCGCCGTATGACGGCAGCATGTAAACTATCCAGACAATTAAAAGATCATTGATCCCAAAAATCAAACTGTTGATATTCCTTTAGAAAACACACGACATTTCTCTTCACCTTGCTTCTGAAAAACATGACCCAGAACCGACTTTTTCAGCATTTAGATGTTGCAGGATTCGTTGTAATTGAGCACTATGTATAATATTGCATAGTTACCACATGGTTTTACGTGTGTGACTTTGTTGTGTTTACTGAGTAGCATTCAACCCCGACAAATGACTTAAACAATGATGATTATAAACATGTATTAAACGTCGTTCATTGACACCATAATCTTGTTGTCATGGTTTATAGACTTCATTTTGGAGACACTTGGACTCACTGTGACTGTGCAATCCGGACCGGTTTGATTCAAACAATCCACTGATAAAAATCAGATATCCTGTCCACGAATGTCTTTACAACACATTCAGTTGTATAGTTGTTAGTGTCAAGTACTGATTTCCAACTGTGACAAACTGAGATTCAATGAACATAATTTATAAAATAAATGTCGAAATATGTGTAACACAGACTGTGTGAAAATGTGCTTGTAGACTAATTGTCCCAAACTTGAGTATGATTTTGAAATATGTGGTTGAATACAGGGTTAATAAGGAGCTTACAAAATGTATCATTATGTTACACATTCAATGTAATATCTTGTTATTTGATAAAACCAATAATCTAGATATATATAAATAACATATAATATGTAAACTTGCACTTATTCCAGCATGTTCCGTGGGCATGTATGGAGTCAACTGTAACAGGACCTGTAACTCTCGCCACTGCGTTGGTTCAACTGAGTCTTGTGATTCAATCACCGGGGCGTGTTCAAGTGGACAATTCCAGACAGGATGGACAGGAACAGATTGTGCAGGTGAGTGTTTTAGTAAATCCGATGTAGATGGCCTCTTATGTTTTGACTCTAAACTGACCTCAAAGGTTAATGCAGAATTTAGATAATGGCGCTCTTGCCAAAGTGGATGAAAGTATCCTGCCTCAAAGGCTTATATTAAAGACGAACCGGTCATTGTACAGATGTAGAAAACATTTTTACACACCGTATTCCTGCACATATCCATCTAATGCTTATGTGATTTGGCACCCGTGAAGAGCCACCTCCTGGTGGTGGGTGCTGGGTAACGCTAAGCGCCCTTCAACCCCCCGTTGTGGACCCGGGGGGATATTTGGTCCACCAACTTGTTTGCCGTTGGTTGCGCCCCTATGTCGGTGGAGGACTGGAGTCTGGTGGTTGAGGGCACTGGTTCCAGGACCAGCGTTCCTTTGCCCAACACACCACTTTGCCCCTTACTTCACCTAGACGGGTGGTTGAACTGGCCCGGTTCTATCAATCGGCTGGTCACGCCAAGCCCTGTGCTACAACTGTAAAATGGTGCACAACATTTGAGAATTGTTAGGTGATATTTTTAAGTCTTGGCACTTTTTGAACTTTGAATTTTGACTTTTAAATTTCAACTACACAATTTCATATGTGCTTTTGCCTAGAGTCGTATGCCCAGAAGGCGGTGGCTCATGGGCCAATCTGGTGGAATCATTAATCTTTTAATTTTTCCGCTGGAGTATGTCATCCGGGTATCCTTGGTGCTGCAAGTTGGAGATCCGCTTGTTTTTAGCATTGTCCTTGTGATACTCCGTGGTGGGTGGGAAGCTCGGATGATGAACCATTTAACATTAACAATGGCTTACGAACCCTCCCCCCCCCCTTAAGAAAACGAAACATCCACTAGACATTGATCGTGAAGATGATGAATACAGACCGACCCAATCAACTGATTACTGGCCACGCTTTATAGTGATCGAGACTCATGATAAGACGCCACTGAAGTTGAACCCTTTTGCGGTATCAACGGCTATTCAAGGCATTGCAGGTGATGTCAAAAACGTTAAACGCTTGCGTTCAGGAGCTCTTCTCATTGAATGTAGTAAAAGACAGCAAGCTGCAAACCTGATGTCAACGGAATTGTTTGTAGGAATTGCAGTGTCAGTCTCAGCTCATAGAACGCTAAACACAAGCAAAGGCATAATTCGAGATCGAGATCAATTGTTTGTGGACATGATGGAATTAGATATTGTAACAGAGATGAAAGATCAAGGTGTCATTTATGTCAAAAGATTTACAATCCGGAAAAACAAAGAAACTATTCCAACCAACACATACTTGTTTTCCTTTTCATCTCCAGTTGCTCCGAAATCATTAAAAAAGCTGGCTACTGTAACATCACTGATGATACCTATGTTCCTAATCCATTAAGATGCTTCAAGTGCCAAAAAATCGGTCATGGAGTGAACACTTGTACATTGTCTGTCACGTGCGCCCATTGTGGTGAGCAGACACATAGAACAGAAGTTTGTACCAACAACTTTAAAAAATGCACTAATTGCGCCGGAAGTCACTCATCTTTCTCAAGGGACTGTCCAATTTGGAAACGGAACATGGAAATCAACAGAATTAAATTTACTCAAAACATTAGTTTTGCAGATGCAAAAAAACTTGTCCAAAGATCGGACCTCACAGAAACCTATGCTTCCGTCACCAGAACATCACCTGAACCAACCTTGACCGTCGTCAAATCTTCTGCATGCTGTCAAACCAACTTAACATGGCTTACTACTGACACTCCTCAGATTTTGCTATCTGAAACATCCACTCAAACTGCTGAAGTCATTCCAGAGGCCACATATGTTCATTATGCACCTTGTATTACAGAAAAATCATCTCAGCCAAATACAAACTTTCAATCTCAATCAAATATGAAAGAAACTGTTAAAAAAAGCCTAAATCTAGATGTGAATCTTCACAAAAGAATCAAAGTGGCAGAGCCTCAAAGGGGGCTAATAACAAAATCCAACTTTTTCATAAGTTCGGATCCACAGAGGACATGGGTGTGTCCGAAAACATCCAAACTAGGGCACATAGCTTGTCGCCCTCAAGAAAAGTGCGGGGTAGATCCCCAATCAACCCACCAAACAGTTAATGTATTATAAAAATATAGTACAGTGGAATTGTAGAGGATTAAGGACTATTTTTAATGAATTACTTTTTATTAGTCCAGGATCTGGCACCATCGGCATTCTGTCTGCAGGAAACTTATCTGAAACAGACAGATACTTTTAATCTACGTCAGTTCGAAGCATATCATTCTTTCTCACCTCTGGCTGATAGGGCTACTGGCGGGTCTTCAATTCTTGTTAAGCAAAATGTAATTCACAACCCTGGCACACTTACAACTAATCTTCAAGCCGTTGCAGTTTGACTTACTCTTCATGTTGCCTTCACAATATGCCCTCTATATATTTCCCCTTCTTCAACACTCCAGCAGTCTGATCTCCAAGCTCTCTATGACCAACTTCCTAAACCTTGTAGTATACTGGGTGATCTTAATGGCCATAACCCGATCTGGGTTGGTACAAGCACTAACTCTAAAGGTAAAATACTGGACGATTTTATCTCCAATAATGACTTGTGTGTATACAATGACGATTCAAGCACTTATCTGCATCCTGCAACTGGCACTTACTCTTCTCTAGATTTGTCTCTTGCAGACTTGAACCTCCTCAATGAATTTGATTGGTCAGTCCACAATGACCTCTGTGGAAGTGACCACGTTCCAACTATCCTATCAGAAATTTATCCATCTGATCCTCCATCTTATACAAGATGGAAATTTTCCAAGGCAGACTGTTCCTTATTTCAACCGTTATGCACATCTAAACTAAGACCCGAATATTTCAGTGATATAACTGATCCTATTGAGGTTTATTCTGACGTTTGAAATGAAATAGCTGATGAATGTATACCAAAGTCCTCTACAACTCCACATGTACGGAAACCATGGTTTAATACAGATTGTAGGCAAGCCAGAAAAGCGAGGAAAAAGGCAGAGAACTATTTCCGCCATCACCCAACTGTCCATAACCTAAATAAATTTAAAATACTCAATGCGAAGGCACGTCGTACCTTCAAAGAAAACAAACGGCAATCTTGGAGGAACTTTGTCTCCAAAATTAGTTCACGTACGCCAATGCCCAGAGTATGGAACATGGTTCAAAGAATTAAAGGCAAAGGTTCAAAGTCTGCTAAGTCTGAAATTTAATTACCGACAAGTCTAAAATTGCAAATAAAATTGGCGAAAGTCTTGCCAAAAATTCTTCATCGGCAAATTATGTCCCTGATTTTCAGAGATATCAGAAACAACAGGAAAAGACAAAACTTAATTTCGAATCAAATAACGGTGAGGATTATAATGAAGTGTTTTCAGTACATGAGCTACATACTGCTCTTGAGCAAGCTCGTGACACTGCAGCGGGTGATGATAACATACATTACTAGCTATTGAAACACTTGCCTGAACCATGTCTGATGACGCTTTTAGATATATTTGATAAAATATGGACGTCCGGAAATGTTCCTCCCTCGTGGCGTAATGCCATTGTAGTCCCGGTACCAAAACCTGGCAAGGATCATACTGATCCGTCAAATTACAATTACAAACTAGCTGTGTCTGTAAAACCATGGAACGTATGGTGAATAATAGATTAACTTGGTATCTTGAAACCAATAACCTTATAACAAATATTCAATGTGGTTTCAGGAAGAATCGTAGTACCATTGATCATTTGGTACGCCCTGAATCCTTTGTTAAGAATGCTATAGTAAATAAACAACATGCTGTATCAATTTTCTTTGATCTTGAGAACGCTTATGACACGACCTGGGAGCATGGCATTTTGAAGGATTTACATGACTTTGGTTGAGAAGCAGTTTGCCTCTTTTTATATCACAGTTTTTAAAAGACAGGCAATTTCAAGTCCGTGTGGGTTCAACCCTGTCTGACCATTATTATCAGGATCAGGGTGTCCCACAAGGTAGTATGTTGTCTGTAACATTGTTTAGAGTGAGATTAACAGTTTATCCAAGGTTTTAAACGATTCAATCGATGGATCACTTGTTGTGGATGATTTTAACATTTCTTGTCGCGGTAAGAATATGCATACTATTGCACGGCAACTACAGTTGTGTTTAAAAAAAATCAATGAATGGTGTCTTGAAACGGCTTTAAATTTTCTAAATCAAAAACTAATTGTCTACACTTTTGTAGAAAATATAGGCCGCATAAGGACCCAGAATTATCTTTAAATGGCACTCCCATCAAAGTTGTAAAGGAGGCCAAATTCTTGGGTCTAATTTTTGATTCTCATTTAACCTTCTTGCCACACATTCAATCACTTAAAGCTAAATGCCTGAAGGCACTAGATTTGTTAAAGGTTGTTTCAAATTCTAAGTGGGAAGGGGATCAAACTACACTCCTTCACTTATACAGATCATTGGTTCGATCTAAACTTAATTATGGCTCCATCGTATATGGTGGAGCCTGCAAAAGCAGCTTACAACTACTTGATTCTGTCCACCACCAAGGCCTAAGACTTTGTCTTGGGTCCTTTAGAACCTCTCCTATTGATAGTCTCTATGTTGAAGCAGATGAGCCTTCTCTTACACAACGCCCTATAAAATTATCTTTACAATACATTACTAAACTATATTCTAGCGGGTATAACCCTGCATTTGACTGTGTTTTTAATCCCCTCTATGAGGATTTATACAACAAAAACCTTCTCTTGTTCCGCCCCTTGGGCACAGAATTAAACCCTTCATTTCTGCTGCCGGCATTGAGCTGGAAAATATAGCTCCTTCCTTTCTTCTTTCTTCTCCTCCTTGGCAACTGGTCAGGCCTGAAGTTGACCTAACTCTGACAAAGTTTAAGAAATCTGAAACTAATGAATTACATTATAAACAAGAATATAATCAATTAAAAAATAAATATTTTCATACAAATCCTTATTTACAGATGGGTCCAA